TCTTAAGAAATTCCGGCAACAGAAGGCAGGTATTTGTAAAAACAACGTACTTTACAGTTAGATCATTTCAAGCATTGTGGATGATTTCAAAACTATTATGCATCGAATCTGAAGTAAATTATTCCCAAATCTCTAACGGAAGTGGAAAAACAATTTATCCTGATGGGTTGGAAAAACGTTTAGTTTGCTAAAATAGTGTCGAATAAAAGATTAAATTACTTTCTTGCACAATTTTTCTATAATCTTTTAATCATGCAAAGTTCAAAAACATCTACAAATTAACCCTGTGATTGAGTACAATTTATATAAATCATATTGTTTTCTGGGGGTGTGCGATAGACTTACCTCCACGTGGTGCACCCTGGGCAACGTATACTTATACGGCAAAAAAGTCTATTATTCGGCAGTTGACTTCTGACTTCAAACTTCCATGACCCCACTGTACGTCATAGTCGACTACCTTCACAGTACTCATCCCACCTTTTTTCACCTAATCTACCTTCGTCTTTGATACACTCTTCTGCCCCCCTCTTGAATTTTTTATACTTTGATGTTCCTTCCCCTCTGTGAAGCCTGAAGTCAACTAAAGGGCTAATGATAACAATCAAAACGCCTGCCATTTGATCTAATAATATTGTTTTCTGAATTATGAAATTGGTTGCTTCACAAAACCCAAAGTAACCTTCAAATTTTGCATTTTAACTCACTTTTCCTTTGCATAATTTTTATTTACAAACAACTATTATAATAAATAATATGAGACAGTTAGATGGTTGCTCTCACTTGAATGATAAAATTATTTATAAAATTTATAAGAATTAAAAAATTATCTGTTTATACCCAATCATTGGCTGTCGCTCAAACCATATTAGGCAAAATTTTAAATGTTTATTTCCGCAAATATTATCAGTTATTATTCTTCAAGGTCATCGAATAGCCTTTATATTTCTCCAAAACATGTCGGATTGCTTTCACAAGGTTGTGGAGAGCTTAAAGCAGTGAACTTGATTTCCCTATTTTGGTGGCCAAAGCGAGTCATTATAATTCAAATATGCCCCGTCATATAACCTCGTTGTCAACGCGTATTTGATTTAAGATTACAAAGGAATCTATGTGTACTAATGTCTGAATAAAACGTGATTACTATATTGACTAACTTTCCTAAGGCGTACTTGTCGACAATGTTATAGCCACAATTGCCCTTCTTCCGCCTTTCACAAATCACTAAATGAGCTTTAATTTAATCTGTATTCGAGCCCTTTCCATCATCTTATGTTGACTATTAGTGAGTCCTTATACTATCTTTTTAGTCATACTTAGGGTAGTGAGGCTGATGCAGCTCAGTCACTGCCTTTGTCAATATTTTTATCTTACAGCATGATTATAGAACTAAATAGCAATAGTTTGACCGATCGTTTCTGTTCTATTTGGTAAAGACGGAGTTACATTCCCATTAATTTGTATGTAGTCCCGGATTACTACACAAATAAGCCTTCACTAAAACTAAGCAATCTCTTTGGCAACTTCTCCTCGTTGGGATGGTTCCCAAGATTAGCTAAGCTACCACAAAGTCACCGAGGGAAAAAAACGTGTGTCATGCAATAGGCTTATTTGGGTGATACTATGCATTGGACCGCATCCGGGGTACCTACAAGACTGCGGCGTGTGATGTGTGTGCTTCACTAACGGAAGAGAGCTAAAGTTTTATGTACGCTTTCAATTATGGTAAATACATAATGACTATCGTTGTTTATTGGTCAAGTGATTTACGCACTCATGGCCCTATAGCGTGATTGTAATAGTGAAAGTGATGTTTTATAATAGTTGGAAAGGCATGGGTTTCTTTGCTACAGCCATTGTTGTATTCCCTACAAGGGAAAATTAACCATTCAGGTACTTAACAGAGCCTTAAAAGGTCTCATTATTTGAGAATCATTTTGTAAATTTGTTATTTCAGCATATAAAAGCTTAAAAATTATAGGAGTCATTTTATCAAAATATTGATTTAGTATTCTCGAAGGTGATCAAGCTTCATAAAAATAAAGATTTAATCATATATCAAGGATAAAAAAATAGAGTCTACTTATTTATAATGAAATAAACCATTTTTTGCTTGAATATTTTAAATTTATCACATTGACCTTTAGGTGCCCTCAACCACGGAAACTGATCCTAAAGATATTTATTCATATCAGATTTTAAAATAAGATTCATTTAATAAATGGATACCATCCCAAATTACAAAACGTTTCAAAATTGTCAAATGAATTGTATACCAATGTCAATATATAAAATGCCATATTATTATCCAAGGTAGGAGCTTTAAATATGATTAGTACAATTCCATTGAAAAACGTTTTCATTTATTTTAGCAAATGCGTATTATTTTTCAGACTAATTTGGTATTTCTTAATTTTCTTCTATCGAAAACTAAAATGAATTTATTAGCGATAGATGTATTTTGCTTACTGATGTTATTTTCCAGCCTAGTCTCAATGGTTTCTGAATGAACTCGAAATGCTTTTACGTTTGATTATTATATTTATAGAAAATCTCCAGATTTATCTCATATCAAAGCAGTTTGTTTCGATGTGTTTGGAACAGTCTGTCCAGATGAAGGAATCGAAGAAATTGGAGAGTACTGTCGCAAAAGAAAAGTCGTTACAGAATTGTAATAAGTTTTATCATAAAATATTTTTGTATACACGCACATATATATATATATCAATTCAACTAAACTGCATGCTTCTGTTATAAAATTTCAATTAGTTTCTTGAACACGATTATCAATTCTTTAGAAAAAATAAAGCAATGTATGGAAAAATGTCATCTGAGGAAGCATTAGGAAGACAATTGAAAGAAATTGGGCTTACAAAAGGAATACTGAAAGCATTCCTTGATTATTACTCTGTAAAGTTAACCGATGGTATTGAGTAAGTTTATATGCGCATATTTGTTATCTTAAATTCAGAATCGAGTGTTTTAGAACCATCTTAAGTTATGCTGAGTAGTTTTTGCAATAATTTTTCAAAAGTTTGATTCAGCGCAATTGGAAGGGAGAAACTTCGATTTCCCAAAAGACAGAAATAAGTTAATAGAAACTTTGGGCCATATATACTCCAAATTCCACTATTCTAATGGGAAAGGCTCTTTATTCCAATCTTCAAAATCTGATGTAATTGATGAAATTTAATTTTCTTTATTTTGATAAAAGTATAAACTGGAAGAACCATTGTGGATTTTGTTATTAAAATGTACACCCATAAGAAAGATAAGCTATAAGGATGAAAGTATATAAGTCGAAATTTTTAGAGTTCCACATCTAGTAATACCATCTGCCATTTTTTCTCACATATATGGAATTTTAACTTGTTAGACGTCTGGTTGCATCTCTTCGTGCAAGTAACATTGACATCTACCTAATAAGTGGAGACATCTTCGATTTGGTTATCAAAGTGGCTAAACGCCTGGGTATCCCTGAGGATCATGTATACGCTAACCACTTGATCTACGATGCCTATGGTAAATTCATTTTGACCTGCATTAGACGTGAATCTTTTAATGATTTAACGCTCAATGCATCCTGGAGATTATTTACTGGCACTCATACAATCAAGGTTTTGTTAAAGCCTGTGCAATTTTTGGAAACAGTCATATTACGCTTGCTTATTTCAGGCGCTGTTGTTGATTTCGACCGGAACCTACCAATCTCTCGCTCAACGGGAAAAGCCGAAGTTGTTGCATCGTTGAAGTCCAAACTATCGCCGGATAATGGTGTCTTAGTAATTGGCCCCAGAGTCACAGATGCTGTAGCTTTCCCTCCCGCGGACACATTCATTGGTTTTGGAGGTATCTACGAAATACAAAAAGTTAAAGATTGCGCCAAATATTATTTTTACTCCATGGACGAGATACACAAATTCCTAAAAAATTCAGCTCTGATTAGATCACCCTGAGTAAATCTTCTTTAAACTTGCCTACTTATTTCACCTGAGTAAGGTTTAACCTGGATGAATTAATTTTCGGATTAAATGTCCTACAAATTTCAGTTAACTTGAATAAAGCATTTTAATTAAATAATAATTTGAAGCAATTACCAATTACGCAGACTACATGATTTTCGACCAATTTCCATTTCAAACTTATCAAAAGGGTTGAATACTTTAAATTCAAAAATTTTTTGTAGTCGTGCTTGTATCACTTTAAGCTGCAAACGAAGCTGACTTTGGAAAAAGTAACTGGTAAGTTTTTCGTTAGGACACAATCTTGCTGAAGTTAGTATGCCTATTTGCAATTATAAATTTCAGAGGCCATTAACGCATGTGAATTCGTAAACTATTATATTTTTATCTTTCAACCAATCATTTACACCCTTCTATTATAAACATTGTTTCAGATACTATTGTAGCGGATTGTTACCATAGTAAAGCCTGACTGACTCAGAAATCTCTGTGGCAGATTCTCCTACATCTAGCTAGACTTCCAGAACCAGCTAAGCTATAGCCCAGCTATGAAGGAAACAGACGTGTAGCACGGAGCACGTTTATTCAGTACGTATATCGCGGATAAAGTGTTCACGCAGGAAGCTTAATCATGATCAGGATGGCGGATTAGGTTAAACAAACAGAGGTTAATGATTGGCCACTGTTTGTACGGTCGCACCTCCCAATCTGGGCGTGCAGGCATGCGATGACGTGTCCCACAGTATCAAAAGAGTATTCTTTTCTTTAAAAAAACGAATATCAGAATAAACTTGAAATAAAATAGGGGTTGAAGTTATAGAAAAATTATGTAGGATTCTAGGGGAAAAAATTGAGAACCACAATGATAACTTCAAAGGCGGGAAGGAATGAGATCAAATAGGCTAAAAGCGATTTGCTTCCAAGTATCATTCAATGAGTTGGAATCTGTCGAAACACTCTGTATGCATTTTGCGCTCGTTGTCTCTCGCATCCCAGACCTTGCAAAGCAAATTGTCAGTCAGTCGTAGTTTGACGCGTAGTACCGAATTTATCATTAAATGAAGTACAATGGTGCGGGTAACTTCGAAAGCAATTAAATTTGTGGTTAGTATGATTCATTCTTCGGTGAGTCATTTGATAATATCTGCCGTTTGTCGAAAATTGTTCGTCAATTGACTACCGCACACTATCACATAATAAAGCTTCATTTTCCATGTTAATAAATAGAAAAAAAAAACAATAAAGGCCTGAAAAGCACATTGCTTTTTAGCTGTATGTGGGGTGGGCGATAAACTAACCTCCACGTGGTGCACCCTGGGCAATATATACCCACACGACAAAAGATTCTATAAACCGGCAGTTGATTTCTCACTTCAAACTACC